AGCAATGTGGTTGACTCTTAACTGCCCTCTGGGCAATAGATGCTGCCTAGCCAGTGATGCCCTCGTCCTGTGAATTAATAAAGAAAAAAAAAATATTGTTCCAGTAATAACTGTTCCAATGTGACTAGCATATCTCCTGCAATGGTTTTTCCTCCAGATCTCTCTCTCTTTGCCTTGCACGCTATATTCTGTTACTTCTCAATATGTTGATTCTCTTGTTGACGACATCTACAAACATTGGTTCAAATTTAATTTGTATACCAATGATACATCCCTTTTAAAATTCATTACTATAATTTCTCTCAACTGGGCTATTTTCTTCGGAGCATTGGAGGCTGAGGGGAGACCTTTTTATAGAGATTTATAAAATCTTGGATAGGGTGAATAGGTCTTTTCCCGAGGATAGGGGAGTCCAAAACTAGAGGGCATAGGTTTAAGGTGAGAGGGGAAAGATTTAAAAGGGACCCAAGGGGGCAACATTTTCATGCAGAGAGGTGCGTTTATGCAGTGAGCTGCCAGAGGAGTTGATGGGGACTGATACCATAACATTTTAAAAGGCATCTGGATGGGTATTTGAATAGGAAGGTTTTGGAGGGATACGAGCCAAATGCCTCCAAATGGGACTGGATCAGTTTAGGATATCGGCTCACCATGGATGAGTTGGACTAAAGGGTCAGTTCTGCACTGTACGTCTGATTCTATGTTGCTTTGTGCTAATGTCGAGTTGTAGCTGAACTAGGACCTTTCATAACTTTATTGAAACCAAAGCCATCCAATTCAGACTCTAACATAGCTCATTGTCCTATTTCCCGTTTTAAATGTCTGTTCATTTCCCTGAATGTGTTCGAGCTTATCAGAGAAGTATGTTATTTAGGTATTTTGTTCAAGACTGAGATTCAAACTCCACATTGTGTTTTTCAACAAGGCTGCCTACACCCTGTCCAAAGCATCACCCAACTAGACCATACGTCACAACTTGTAATATCTAAACTCACCTGCAGCTTTTTTGCCTTTTTTAAATTCGTCTAAATATTTTCCAGCTCTTTCAGAACTATGTCTTATTCCATATTACCATTCATCTATTGCCAGATCCATGTAACCCCCAGATGGATTCTAGTCCCTCACCTTAACGGGAACAGGAGTAGAAAGGGTTCTGAGAATGGGTCACTGGACCCGAAACGTTAACTCTGAATTTTTTTTCTTCACAGATGGTGCCAGACCTGCTGAGCTTTTCCAGCAACTTCTGTTTTTGAACAGGAATAGCCTGTTTAGCTTGTCAAGCCTGTTGCACTGTTCAGTACAATTATGGCTGATCAAATACTTCCAACCCTTTTACCCACACTAATCCCCTAACTCTGTATGCTATTAGTAGTCAAATCTATCATTCTCGACTTTAAATATGCTGAAAGACTTTGCCCCCGGGGTAGAACATTCCAAAAATTCATAACGCTCTGAGAGAGAAATTTTTCCCATCTCAGGCCTAAATGGCACCTCCTTTATTTTAAATATGTGCTGTCTGGTTCTAGACTACCCGACAGGCGAAACACCTTACCTGTATATTTTTCCTTCAGTCTGTAAAGTATTTTGTAAGTTTCAATGAGATTACCTCTCATTCTTTGAGACTTTAGAGAAGACAAGCCCACTTTCCCCTGTCTGTCTTCATAGGACAGTCCAGCTAGCCCAGGAACAAGTCTGATGATCTTTCATTGCAGTCCCTCAGTGGCAATAACATATCCTTCCTTAGGTAAGGAGACCAAAATTGCACATAGTACTTGAGGTGTATTCTAATCAAGCTTCTATACAGTTGAAGCAAAGCTTCACCATATGCTGTTCAATATTCACTTTCAATAAAGGCTAACATTCTACTCATTAGACTTTTTCAAATCCTCCTGAAGCAGCATTACATCATCTTTACAACATGTACCTGCTTTTAATCTTTTTGGATTTGTCGTCCACTTCCTCCATATTCCTATCTAAAGTTATTGGGGGAGTGCTGCAATCATAGCTGCAGATCATCGCTGTGAGAACATGCCCATTTGTGATCTTATGATAGAAGGAAAATCATTGAATCGTTGAAGGTACATGGGCATGACGCTGAGGAACTGTGGCAGTGGTGCCCTGAGATTGAGCTGACTGGCCTTGAATAACCACAACCTTTGTGCTAGGTGTGACTTCAATTAGTCGAAAACTTTCCATCTGATTTCCAATGACTTGAATTTTGCCTAAGCTTCTTGGTACTTGATCAAATATGACGTCGACATCAAGGCATTCATTCTGATCTGGAGTTTAGTTTTATTGTATATGTTCATACCAAAGCTGTAAATGTGGTCAGGAACTGAGTGACCTTGATGGAACCCGGTGTGCTGGTTATTACTATGTAAATGTTGCTTGATAACACTGTTGACAACTTGCTCCATCACTTTGCTTGTGATTGAGAGGAGGTTGCTGTGGAAGTGACCAACTGGATTTGATTTTTCTTGCTTTTTGTAGACATAACATCCTATGCATTTTGCACATTATTGGTTAATGTCAGCGTTTTATGTTAGTGTTATAACTGTGTTGGAACAACGTGGCTAGGGGCACAGCTAGTTCTGGAGGACAAGTCTTCGCTACTGCTATTGTGATATTGTTAGGCATTAGTATCCCATGCCTTCAGCTATTTCTTGATATTGTTTGGAGTGAATCAAAACGGCTGAAGCCGAGCATCTGTGATATTAGGGGCCTGAGGAGACTGAAATGGATCATCCACGTGGCACTCCAGCCTGCAGATGATTGCAAGTGCTTCACTTGTGTTCTTTGGGCTTCCCCATCACTGAGGCTGGGATATTTGTGGAGTCTTCTACTCCTGTTAGTTGCTTAGTTATCCACTAACTCTAACCCTATTTATGAGTGCAAGATTATGAGCAAATATTAGAAAGTTTGGGACTTCATGCACTGGAATTTAAAAGAATGAGTGTGATCTCATTGAAACGTACAGGATTCTTAAGGGGCTTGACAAGGTGAATGCTGAAAGGATGCTTCCCCTCATTAGGTGGTCTAGGACCAGAGAGCATAGCCTTAGAATAAAGGGGAGGGGCGGGGAGAGTGCAATGTAAAACTGAGATGAGGGCGTTCTGCTGAGGGTTGTGAATCTTTAGAACTCCTTGTCACAGAGAGCTGTGGGGGTAGACATCTCTATTTAAGGCTGAGGTAGGTAGATTTTTGATTTAGTAGGGGAATCAAGGGTTATGGGGAGAAGACAAGAAAGTTGATATGAGGAATGTTGGATCACTCATGATCCTATTGAATGACAGCAGGCTGAAGGGGCCAAATGGCCTACTTCTGTTCCTATTTTTTACGGTTTTATTTATGGATGGGCAATAACGGTTGCCCTTCATAACAATGTTCCTCCCATGAAAGAATAAAAAGTGAACTAGAATATTGTAGATGATGGAAAGGCTTCAACCAGTTAGGGGATGAGCTACTTGTCAAAAAGTACCAAAGCAGCCTTTTCCCTGTTAACGTAGCCAAAGCCCTTGGAGCTGAACAATCTCTCAACCAAGTGATCAGATCAAAGCTCTGCAATCCTGCTACATCCAATTATAAATAATCATAGATAATTAAGCAGCTAACAGGAGGAGGAGACTCCAGAAATGTGAAAAATATATTTCGTGTATGGATTTATTTTGGCACTAAATTCAGTGGACCTGATTATTAATAATTATCTGTACTGAAATGTGTAGATTGTAGTTGATATCTCTAAATGGACATTTTTGTTTGAAACAATTTTGTATGAGATTCACTTCTGATTTGAATTTTGTTTCCCAATTTTGTGTAAATTCATTTTGATCTAATAAATAGACTTGTAACATAGTTTTATTGGTCGTAATTCCACAAGCTGCGCTTTGAATTGGGTGTTGGGATGTTAGTTGTTCCTATGATTCCTAGCACAATTAATTCCTGTTCTCAACTGTTGTTATCTTGTACAAAGTGGTGGGGGATGGATTTCAGACTCTTACTGCCACCACCAGCCGCACTCCTCTCTCCACATCCCCAAACAAGGACTTGATTTAAATTCCAGACTTAGCCACTTTGGGCTGCATTTGGGCATTGACTCGTTTTTACTAAAGTTATAACTCGCCTAACTGGCATCTGTCTTGGGACTTCAAGGTATCCAGTCAGTTCTTAATCTGATTTGCAATTGCTGACTCACTGAAGACCGTGGATTCAAGATGTGCTGTGTCCTGGTTCAGCTCAGCCAATCAAATTATGATACAAGATCACAATGACTAAAATGGAGAATGATTTTACTTAAAATTGGCAATACGGAATTCAAACCTGGTGCAATTTAATTTGTTGCTTTCCCCACTTAGTAAAGTTAATTAATGTTGCTTAGTCATCTTTCAAGAATGTTTGTTTGTTTGACAAGCAGGCCTTAACTAAAATATTGTGCCAACCACAGATTAATGGTATTAATTTCTGATGTTGGTAACTTTGAATGCCCTGTCATATCCTTCAGGTATGAAAAGTAGGTAAATGTACAGTGTAGTGATGCTTTGCTTTTTTTTCAAAAATAAAATTTTCTACTCCAATGTTGGTTTTTTTTTCTTTTGATCTCTTTGTTCAAAATTTGTTTGAGGCAAGTTGCTTTGACAAATTGATTAATCTGCAGGCTTTCTTTAAAATAAATGGATTTTTAATGGATGAGACAAGGGTTGATGACCAAAACGGTGAGGCAAATAAGTCTTTCAATAATAGACCATGCCATACCTAAATTGTGCAATGAAACAGTAGAACCCTTTGTAGTAAAACAAGTCTGTATTAGCAGCTATTGGTGAAATTTGTTATCATCACAAAACCACACCAAGGAGCAATGTTGTGTTTGAACTAAAATGCTCGCGGAAGCATCCAAGTGTCTGGTTGTAATTTATCTGTCAAATTGAAATTTATCTGTCAGATTTGATGTTCACTCTTGTTGAATTGCCTTCACTAACCTTTTTTTATTTTTTCGTCCTTTTTAGAATGTCATCAGAGGACAAAAGTGTGGAACCTTCTGACCTAGGACCGCCACCTCTATCTGCTGCCTTTGTGGCTGCTCCTGTTGGTAGCCCTGTAAATAATGACAAACGACCACGGGGCCGACCTCGCAAAGATGGCACAACTCCTCTACAGAAGAAAAAAAAGTAAGTGAAATCAGCAAAGTACTTTGCACCAACTGAATTAAAATGTCATTTATTTGCAATAAGTATGTGCTATGATGTTGAAGGCTCTTAAGATATGGCAAGTGATATTTTCATGTCTGTGTTCTTAACCTATTAAAGTTTACCTGTATTGCAGCCTCCAATTTATTTGAACAATTTGTGTTTGAGCACAGGAGGTGACTTGATAGAACCCTAAATCTTTATTTTGCACACTCCATTTCATAAGAATTCTTACAAATAAACCTGTAGTAATTTTTTTCTCTCCTGGGGATACTTTGATCAGTAATTTTGAGTCCTTGTATTATATTGGTCTTCGACTCGTATGACGCTATTGTAACTGTCGCTTGATAGTAAAGAACTTGAATATTGCTGAAAAGAGAGGCGTATTGCCAAAGCTTTTCTTCATTTACTTATCAGGATGAATGCAAAAATGTAACAGTTCAAATAATCACGGCCATTTATACTACGGGAGAATAAATTCTTGTGTAAATTGTTGACTGTTTGACATTAATCATTTTTGAGTTTGACAAGCTGAGTATAGGATGAAAAGCTTTGACAACATGTTTCGCTTTTCAGTACTACTCTTAACTAGTTTGGGTAACGTGAAGGAGTGTCTTATTTTTCATTTTGTAGTAACAGAAAATGATAGCTGATGGGCAGAATAACCATCCATTTGGCACAACAAAAGGAGAATTTATGTTCAGTATTTCCTCCTGTATGTGACCTCTTTTCCTCGTAAGTTAGGCACTGTTTGCTATATTCAATGCATTATGTTTCATCCTTCTCACTGGGTGTATTTAGTGTAATTGCATCAGACTTGCATGAAGTATGCATGATCTTGAACAATCTTGACAAGCTTGGTGTGGAAAGGATATTTCTCGTGAGTGAGCACGGAACTAGAGACGTTGTTTAAAAGTATGGTGTTACTTTTAGAGCAGGTTATATTTTGGCATCTGAGGGTTGTGTGATTTTTGAACTCTGGCTGAGAAGATAGAGCTGAGGATCATTTAAAATTTTGAGTTGGAGGTAGATAAGTGCTGCCAGACCTGCAGTCCAATAGTTGCTGTTTTTGTTCGTGTAGAAAGGTTAATTCTTGGTAGGCAAGAGAATCAAAGGTCATTGAGGGTAGGTGGGAATGTGAAGTTTGAAACAATATCCGATCATCCGTGATGAGTATTGAATGCAAAGCTGACTTGAAAGGCCGCATGACCTACTTCTACTTTTATTTTGAAGATTTGTATGACGTAAAGAGATGTCTTATTTAAGTCATTTTGTTATGCCAGTATGCTGTTTAGGTGATTAACTCCAAGTTATTCAAACAATGCCATCACCAGTCACAGAAATGCATCAATTTCCTCTCTTCACACAATCATTTATGGTGAGTCCTCCATAACATTTGGAGTACATGTTGTTTTGAAAACCTCAACTGCCATACTAGTTCACTTCATCAAGAACTTGTACCTCTATAAACTTGCATTTATCATAGCAAATTGTCTCAAGGTGCTAATGGGAGAATTACTCAAACAAATGTGACACCAATGGGACAGATAACCAAAAAGATGCCGTAGAAACACCGAAATGTTATGGCACAGACAAGGCCATTCAACCCTTTGTGTTTGTACCTGCTGAAAAAATAACTTGCTGCCTGTTCTAATCCCACATTTCAGTGCAAGGTCTGTAACTTTGCAGATGCAAATCCAGGTTCCTTTTACACGAGTTGAATGCTTTTGACTCCATCAACCTGGGCAGGGCATTACAGATGCCCACCAATCCCTGGGAGACAAAGATCTTTATCCAATCTCCTCTGGCTCTTCTACTAATCACCTTAAATCTGTGCCTCTTGGTAACTGACCTCTCTACGAGGGTAAGTAGTTTCTTCTGTGCGCTGTATCTAGACTCCTGATAATTTTGTGCACCTCAGTTAAGTCGCCCATTAACCTTCCCTCTTCTCAAGACAGCAACCATAGCCTCTCCGGTCCTCTGCTATAATTTTCAATGCTTGGCTACATTCTTGTAAATTTCCTCTGTATTCTCTCCAGGATAGCGACCTTCCTGCAGTGGGTAGAACTGTGTACGCAACTCGAGCTGTGGCCTAACAACCATTTTGTGCTGCTGTTTTAGCATCACATCCATGCCTTTGTATTCTACACCTCATCCAATAAAGGGAAACGCTCCTATGTGTTTTATTTCCCATCTTGTCTACCCTGTCCTGCCACATTCGGAGACCTGAGGACATGCACTCCAAGGTCTCCAATTCCTCTGGACACCTTATCCTTTTATTGTACTTTCCCTAGCTTTGGTTGTCATCCTGAGATGTTCATCTCACTTTTTTACGGATTGAATTCCATTTGCGACTTTTCTGCTTGCTCAACCACATCGTTGATACAATTCTGGAGTGGACAGATTCTCTTCACGATCAATTACATAGCCAGTTCTTGTGTTGTCTGCAAATTTCCCAATCATGCCCCTCGTTTAAATTCAAACATCAACATGAACATCAAAAAGCAAGGGACCCAACATTGCGCTGTCGGAATACCACTGGAAACTCCTTTTCATTCACAAAAACATTAATCGACCTTATCCCTTTGCTGTTGCTGAGCCAATTTTGGATCTAATTTGCTGTATCTCATTGCTTTTGTGATTAGAGATAGTAGGAACTGCAGATGCTGGAGAATCCGAGACAACAAGGTGCAGGGCTGGATGAACACAGCAGGCCAAGCAGCATCATAGGAGCAGACGCTATGTGGGAGTTTGTCCAGTGTAGTGGTAAAATCCACGTACACAACATCGACTGCACTGCTCTCATCAATCCTCCTTATCACTTCTTTAAAAAAAATTCAATTAAGTTTCCACCTTGCCATGCAGACTAAGCCTGATTAATCTGTGCTTTGAGTAATAAATTATTCTGTCCTTCAGAATTGATTCAAGTAATTTGCACAGCACTGAAGTCAGACTTGTCATCTGAGAATTATATAGCCTAACTCTTATGCCCTTATTGAGTGGTTTAAATATTTTTGTAGGTTTTAATGAGCACCTTAGGAGATCAGAGATTTGAAAATGTTTAGTGAAAAGTTCCAGAGCCTAGGACTTGATTCCTAGTGGTGCAAAAACTTAAGGTCAGGGTTGCTCAAGGGTCTAGAATTAGAAGAAAGCCGACTTCTTGTCGAACTGAAGAAGATAGAGAGGGGTGAGTCCATGGAGGAGTTTGAAAACAAAGGTGAAAAATTTAAAATCAGTTGTTTAACTAGGAGCTGATGTAGATCATTGAGTACATTGGCATTGAATAAACAGGCCTTGATCTGAATCATGTCAAAAATAAGAGCTTTGAATGATGTCAGGTTTATGGAGAATAGAACATCAGGTGCTCACTTGCAAGTGTTTTGGAACAATATGAAGTCAGGCATGGATGAAAGTTTCAGAAGCAGATGAGCTGAAGCAAGTGTGCCACAAAGTTGAATTCTGACAGCCTTCAAGTTTAATGCACTAATCTGAACTATTGACTCCGGAGTGACAAACCTGATCCATTTTCCTCCCTCTCCTTCCCTGAATATAGTTTGCGATGGGCTATATCTTCTCCTATTATATTGTCAGCTTTGTGTCACATAAGTGAGCCTACATTGTGAATTTTGATACGTCATCCCAAAATGACAGATGTTTAGGGGCTGGATTACCACTCTTCACCTGTGGCACAGTTAGCACTGCTGCTTCACAGAGCCAGGGATCTGGGTTTGATTCCACCCTCGGGTGTCTGTGTGGAGTTTGCACGTTCTCCGTGGCTGAGTGGGTTTCCTCTGGGTGCTCTGGTTTCCTCCCACAGTTCAAAGATGTGGAGTTTGGGTGGATTGGCCATAGTAAATTGCCCATAGTGTTCAGGAATGCACAGGCTTGGTGGGTTATCCATGGGAAATACAGGGATAGGGTAGGGGGATGGGTCTGGGTGAGATGCTCTTCGGAGGCTTGGTCAATGTGGACCTGTTGGGCCGAATGGCCTGTTTCCACACTGGTGTTTCTGTGTTTCTGTGGTTCTTACGTGGTTTTCAACAGGGATAACTGGCAATTTGAAAACTTTATTTCCTTTCCTTTTTCCTCTCCATCTACTTTTAAAAACCCATGAATTAAAGAACTTTGAGATGAACTAACTTGCTCCAACTCCAGGATCAAGCCTGAAATGTTCCTGGTTAATATGGGTTCACGTCCATTAATTGAATAAAACCTGCAAAATGGTGGAAATACTGTGATAACATTTGAGAATGTCATCTTCTCTCCAACATTGCATTGTAGCCATTCATTACTTCAAACATTTATTTAATGGTTTTCTGAGCAAAGCAGGATGTTAGTGCTATAAAAACTAAATTAACTGATAATTTGATTTGTAATTCCTGGTTGATAGTTACTTCTGTTGCTGCTTTACACCAGAGAAAGGAATCTTGTGAATCTTGAATCTTTCATGCTTGTGGAAAACTGTCTTTGAAAGAGAACTGATGTACTATTTACAATTTTAGAACATAATCTAGATTGCAGATCCAACTACTTCCAACTGAAGTGGCCTCTGAGAGTAGCTTATCTTATTTTTGGGTTTTAGATTTCTTCAAAGTTAGATATAGTTTCCTACAGCTCAAGTTGATGCTGAATGTGAATTCAGTTGCAGTAATTTGTGACAAATATAAGGGAAGGTCATCTTTGTGGGGAGAAAAATTGTATTTCAGTTGATGCCAGGATGATTTTGAAACAAGTATAGTTTTGATCTGATCAAGTTTAGGGTATTCAGGGCAGTTATATCCTTGGTCTTTCTAAAAACGTTATTTGCCTCTATCTTTCCTTAGACTGGGCTGAGTCCTTTTTTAATACAAAGTCCCCCTATGCTTGCTGCCAACAATGTTCTGATAGTCTGAAATTAAAGCACATTCTCGCTTGCAGTGAGTTGTCCATACCCCACATCATCTGTCATAGTGTATCAATTTGACTGGCAAAATTAAACCATG